CCCGGGCCCAGCCCAGCCTCCCCTTTCCGTCGAGAAAAAGGGACCGCGGGGTGGCGGCACCTAGTCAGTGCACGACGCCAGGGCCTAAAACGCCTGCGGTTACCTCGGCGGCGCGGCCTCGGGCCATTCCTGCCCCACCTCAACGCTCCCCCCTCCCCACCTCCACCGTCAGCCCAAACACCACCCTCCCCCACCCACACCGCCTCGACCGCATGGTCTGCAGTAAACCCCTAAGCTAAGGTGAGACCGACTCTACTAGCCTCGCACGGGGTCATCGTTGTTTGCCACTTAACGGCTTTGGTAGGCCGCGGGGACGGGGAGGGGTGAGTGCGGGTGGGGGGGTGTAGGCGGATGGTGGTTAGGGGAGATGTTTGCCTCGCGCTATGCTTGTGCCTCTCTCCGGAGAGGGAGAGAAGGGGGGGGGGATGGGGGCAGAGGCCGTTAACCAGCCTATAGTGCAGGCAGAAAGTGGGGCCAGAAAATTCACTGTTACGATCGGCTGGCCTCGTTGGCCGTGCCCTGGCGGTGCCCTGGCGGTGCCCTGGTGGTGCCGTGGCCTCGGCCGTGGCCGGGGCAGAGTCGTGCGGGCCGAGCCCCGGCGATGAGCACCTAATCCCGCTAATGGCGCGCGGTTCCAGTTATTCCTCCGTATTTTCCCGTTCGTTTTCAGCCAGCTGTGGCGCTCTCCGTTCTCCCCTCAGGCCAGGGATCGCAAGCCGCTGATCGGCTTCAGGTTTTTGCCTATTTTTTTCTTGTTTTCTCCTCCCACTCCTCGCCTCGCCAGCTAATAACCAAGCTGATCGCCTTTATCTGAACCGGCCCGATGAATTTTGTAAAAGCTTTCTGTGGCGATTGATGCTTGTGTGGATGTTGTTAATGTTGAAGAAGGGTTGGGGTGGAATCGAAAATAATCATCAATGTGTTTGAATGGGGGTGCCCTCGAATAATAATCAGTCCTACTTGTAATCCCCTTCTTCTCTTTGCTTTTGGACTTCCGCGGGCTTGCAGAAACTCTATCCCAGCACCAAACTCAACATTTGATCAACATCGGTTTCCCTGGGATTTACAACCCATCTCACTCCCTCCCACTCCCACAACCCCTTTTAGAGCTAATTCTCGTCGGCCTCCGGCACGCCCCACCCGCTCCGGAGGCTGCACGGCGCTGCCGCGGCCTCGACCCGATGGCCTGCTGCCGAGGCCTGTCCGATGCGCAATGCAGCGATCGAAGGAGTCTGCTTTTGGGTCAGGGTCTGTCTGCATGATCTGCCTCCACAGCCGGACTCTGGTCTGGACCAGCGCCTCGCCTCGCCACCCAAAACACTAAAAAACAGAAAACAAACCGGAAAACAAAAACAGTGAGGCACGGCATCGCCGTAAGGAACAGTCGAAGAGTAAGTGTTTTACACCACCCTCCGAGCAGAACTTCACCTAAAAG